CCTGGTGCTGGAGCCACTACCACCACAGAAGCCACCACTTATCAACCAGGCGACCACTACCGGCAACGATGGAACGAGTCCCCGATTATCATCTACCGCTTCGTAGCCACCAACAACTCGTTCATCCTCAAGGGCATGAGCGATGGCGCCGTCGGTGTAAGTGCCGTGCCACCCTCAACCTTCAACCCATAAAAGGTGATCGTTGACAGACTTTCTGACTTCCTTCAACGACAGGCATTAGTTCCTTACGTACGTAAAAACAATATTTTCCAGCCCTTCATAAGCTCATGAGCACTTCCTCACTTACCTACCTACCCATTTATACGTACATATATACCATCCATCCATCCATCCATCCATTACTCCCTTGAAAACAATTCAAACCCTCCATGAGCCCATGCGCATTTCCTCACTTACCTACCTACCTACCTATTCATACCTACCTGCATACATACCATCCACCCACCATCCATCCATGCCTCCCTTCCATGACACTCACTAACAAAACCCACACGCACTCACAGATTGGGAGCTACTACTCCATCTCCTACACCGTGGTATCCCTAGTCTTCCTAGCCCCCTTCATCGGGTACCTGATCGCCTCGCTGGTGAACAGCATGGTGCACCACTACGCAGGCCAGCGCGGCGTGGCCGTCGCGGCGGCGGGATTCCGGCTCAGCGGCTTGATCGCGCTCGTGTTCCACCCCCCCTATGCCGTTCTCCCCGTGGCCATGCTGTTCGTCGGCTTCGGCAACGGGCTCGAGGACTCCGCGTGGAACGCCTGGGTCGGCAACATGGACCAGGCCAACGAGCTGCTGGGCATCATGCACGGCGCGTACGGGCTGGGCGCGACCATCGGACCTCTCATCGCCACCGCCCTGGTCACCAAGGGTGCGCTGGACTGGTACTTTTATTACTACGTTCAGGTTGGCCTTGATGTGTACGTATTATTCCCTTCCCTCCTCTCCCCCCCTTTTCCCTCTTTGTGTGTTTTCCCTCATTGCCAACCTGTTACCCCTTTCATGACCAGACAAGAAAAAGAAGAAAGGAAATACACCTGCTAATCAGAAGGAAAAACAATATAATGGAAATGATGAGCAAGGAAAATGGGAAAAAGACCAATAAACTGACAGCCAAACACACAGTATCGGCATGCTGTTGCTCATAACCAGCTTCTGGCGCGCCACAGCCAAGGAATACCGCGACACCCACCAGAGCAGCAACAACGGCGGCGAGCGAACCACTACCCGGCACGTTCTGCGCAAGCCGCTTACTTGGCTGCTCGCCCTGTTCCTGCTCGGCTACGTCGGCGCCGAAGTCTCCCTCGGCGGCTGGATCGTCACCTTCATGCTCAACGTGCGGCACGCCGAGCCTTTCATCGCCGGGCTGAGCGTGACCTTCTTCTGGCTGGGGCTGACGGTCGGCCGCGTGATCCTCGGCTTCGTCACGGGCCGCATCGGCGAGAAGCTCGCCATCACGGGCTATTTGGGCTTGTGCATTGTGCTGCAGGTGCTATACTGGGTCGTGCCGAGCTTTGAGGCGTCCGTCGTCTTCGTCACCTTCCTCGGCTTCTTTCTGGGCCCATTGTTCCCGGCCGCCATCGTATCGGCCACCAAGCTGCTGCCCAATGACTACCACGTCTCGGCCATCGGATTCGCGTGTGCGTTTGGCGGCGGCGGCGCAGCCTTGGTGCCGTTTGCCGTTGGGGCGATCGCCGAGAGCAAGGGCGTCATCGTCTTGCAGCCGATCATTCTCGCTATTTTGATCTTTATTTTGCTGATGTGGTATGTGGTTATTTTTCTTCTCGTCGCAGATTCGCGTGATCCGACCTTCCTCTATTTGGATACCAACTTGAAATGTGAAACCCGAAAAAGCAAACAAGAAAAACAGAAAAAGCCAGAACTGACAGGATTGTTGTGTATTACAGGCTGTGCCTGCCGGGCGGCCTTCGGAGAGGCGGGTTGGAACGCGCAAGAGAGAACCACGAAAAGGTCGGACACGAGATACGGCAAGGGTTCAAGTGGCTGAAAGCGAAGGCTGGAAAGGCTGCGTAGAGATAGAGATAGAAGGCAAGCCATGTAACTTGTTCATTTACTGGATGTCGAGAAAGAAACTCCAGATAACGACGGTGTTCCCATGGTAGAGAATGATAAATTCGTCGTCGGCAAATAGCTCTTGGTCAACTTTGGCTTCTCTGGTGTGGGTGGTCCTGCCCTCTGGCAACGGTAATGGGACAGGCAATTCGAGACAGTATCGTGCTGTCGGGCCCATGATGGCGTCGCCCACCAGACCTTCGAGGGTTCTTGCGTCGGTCATCATCAATCGCAACATTCTTGTCTTTGCATCGCCATTCTTCGCATCGAAATCAGTCGGGTCATGAAATTTCGTATTCTTGTTCTTGCGTTGCATTATTTTTCCTGTCTTGTCTTTCTCCGCCGAGTAAACAGGCACATGCAGTTGCTCCGGCTTGGCGCGACCGGATGAGTCCCTTACTGTCAAGATTGTTGGGCGCTTCAGGTCATGCCATGCAATAAGCTGATCGTTCCATATCGCCGCGTATCTAAGAGATGTAACGTGCCGCGTATCTGTGGCGACGGCGGCATGATAAGTTCTGGTCGAGAACGAACGATCCCTCGTGTCGAACCGCAGCACGACAAAGGGGTAAGGTATCTGATGCGACTTTTCCAGCACGACTATCAGATAAAGTCCGTCAGAGCTGATCTGGGGAGAAGATAATTGCCAATCCCCCATGAAGACTGGCATGCGCGGGCGTGTTTTGGTATGGGTGTAGGCGCCCACATAGTCTCCGTCTTCGAACTCGAAGACAGCGACAGCTGTCGGCGACGCTTGGAAGACGAAAAACACTGTGGCCTCATTGAGAGGATGGAATAAGACTCCCATCCCTCCCGCCATCACAAGCTTTTTGTAATCAGTCAGGCCGTACTGGTGCCCGCTGATCTCGTCGAGCGTAGGCTGCACATGCTGCATATCTAGCTCTCGAACACGGCCATCATCAAACTGCCACATGTAGATTTGCAGAACGGTAGTGTCGAAAGTGTACACGCGTGTTCCCCAGGTCCTTGTATGGCCCGTGACATTTGGAAACAGGGCCGACATATGCTGGTTGGTTTCCAGATGCCATGCGTGCCTGCCCAGTAAGATGACCATCAGCTTCAAGCTCGGGGCGGCCCCGACTGAATGTAAGGGGTCCTGAGTCAGTTACGTACAGTCTCCGGGACACTTCGCCAACGACAAGTTTATCGCCGATGTCCAGCAATGTGAGATGCGGCCCATAAAGAAGTTGATCGGGGGCAGTGTACACCCTTCGCAGCCGGGTTCTCAGGTCGTCGACAACGAAGACAGTCATATCCTGTGGGGTAGCGAGAGGCATCCAGGCGAGCCTGCCGCTACGGTAGAGTAGTTTCACTCGATTGCCGTGTGGCATGAATTTTGGATAATGCCCTCCTCCCTTAGGGTCTCTGCGGTTAAAGTCGGGATCGAGCTGGAAGTGGTTGCTGGGATAGTACGGCTCGTCGTTCTCGAAAGTTTGATAGAAGATTGATCTGAACTTGCCCTGTGATCTTATTCCGGCTTTCCTTACAGAATATAGAAACGCGTCTCGCCCTGTTGTTTCTAGCTGCTCTTCGCAGGTGTTTTGTCCTTCCATCTGAGTGTTGAACTGCTGTTGGCGAAGACCAGGAAAGCAGTGGTCCGCCAGAAGCTTCATCACGTCTTCCTGAAGCCAGATCTGCCTCCACTGCTTGGAGACATTCAGCAGACTGGCAATATCATCCTTCTCGAGGTAGCTCGCCACGCAGACCCGTAGCTCAACAGGGAGCCGCGCAACAATGTCTGTGCGGAAGTCTACGGCCGAGAGCTGCTTGAGCAGATCTCGAACCTCGTCGAGGGTTAGAGAAGAAGCCAAGTTGCGAAGGCTGGCGCTCCGCAGCGGCCCATTGTTCCCGAGAGCAAGCAACTGATCTGCCAGAGTGGTGTCCATCTCAATCGATGCTGGAATGGAAGAAAGGGCTGTGGTGGATGGGTCAACGAACAACACACAAGTCGAAGCAAACCGAATTTCAAGAAAGGAAGGTCCGCCCGGTTGATGGAAAAGGAGAACGAGGTTTGGATTTGAATTTAACTGAATGGGGAAAATGAATTGTATGTATATCCCAATTTGCTGCCTAAAGAGTCGATACGATTTTCTTGCGTCCTGCCGGCCATTCGAGGTGCCCGGCGAGGGCACGATGTCTTGGGCTGGGACCGCTGGGTCTCACAGTCGCCAGTTTGGGTTGAACCAGGCAGGCCCCTAAATACCCTAACCCACGAGAAGCGGGGCCTCCCACACCCGTAACCAGCTCGTTGCAGCTTCGGGCCGAAGGCTGGAATTCTTGGCCCTCCGCTTCGGAACGTTCCGACGGATTGACAATACTTGACAGGGCAACGCATTTCCTGTCATCACCAATCAACCTCCTCAATTATCAAAATGCCCACGAGTATATTTCTCATCTCGGTGTATCTTGTCTCCGTGGGGACCAAAGTTTCATGCAACGTGGTCGGGATTTGAATGAGTGGTTGTCAAGGTTCTTGGCCCTCAAGGCACCTCGTCGCGGGCGGGCCGGCACGCGCGGGAATCGGGCGCTCGATGAGCGTAGTTTACCTAGTCTTGCAAATTGAAAAAAAAAAAAAAAAATTTGGTATCAAACCAATGATTATACGATTCGGTCGAGTTCACTTCAAGCACGTTTGACAAAGGTCCTGACTTATGTGATAAATAAGGAAGGGCGGGTCAAAGACTGTGGTGTCTTTTTTTATTAGCCCCTAGCTGTAATTGGTGCGTGGGGTCCGAGAAATGAGAGGCGGGAAGGGAAATGGAGCCACCTACATACATGCTCAGGGGCAAAACTCGAACGGTCCACCACCCACCAGCGAGTGATATGAACGCTGTTTCCCCATCACAACCACATCAAAGGAAGCTCATGCGAGCTGGTATAGAGAAAGGCAATGTAGCCAAGTGGTCTAAGGCGCTGTGTTTAGGCTTTCAAGGAAGTCAGTTCCGCAGTTCGAAAGAGCGCGGGTTCGAATCCCGTCATTGTCAACGAAAAGTTTCAACTTTCACTTCTAATTTTTGCCTGCCCCCTTTGCTATATTTTATCATTTCCGCTATTGCTCGTGTGTCCCTACTTTTCACATTGTTCTGTAGCAGTTTTAGGGTTCATCAATGTAGAGAACTGTGAGAAAGACGTCGGTGGGGAAGGGGAGGGTTTGGTTTTCTGGCTTGTGGAGTTGTGCGAACATGTTGAATGAAGGTGGAGGTAGTAATACTGGACAAGACCTCAGTGTTTCCGCGGTCATTACCTTACTACCACATATATATGAACACGAGATTCAAGGTAGAAAAACTAAGCCGTTGTGATCAGGCGTTCATATGATAGGTCAATCTTAGGTCGGTGGTAGGGATATAATGCCAACAATGCGATTTGTGATGAACATAATAGAAAAATCCAACTTGAGGGACAGCAAAATAGCTAGATAGATGCCTTCCTGTCTCATAGATTATTATTGTTTGAGATTTCTACATGCTTCATCGCGCCCTCGTGATATAGCTATACAAAACTGAAGGTCAAACGCAGAGTCCGGTATACATGCTCGAAGTCCACATGCTGCATGCGTTGTCACAGTGGAGAGTATATCGCAAAACACGTCAGCTTAGCATAACGTAGCCTGGTATGCTGTTAGAGCTCGATGAAGGCTCAGGTTGAAGAGATTCTTTATAGACCACTCTATTCAACTATGATATTACACCACCAAAATCAGACTATATCAGTTCCATAAGCAAGTAGAGAATCTCTTTATCCTCGAAGCTTAGTCTATACCAATGCGAATTCGTTCGCTCTTTGGTCTCTTTCAACTCTCCAAATTCCTATCTAACGAAAGTCTAGGGCCAAATATATATCCGTCATGAACCTCCTTTTATAATGATTGACACGCCACCAGTAAAAAAACAAACAGTTTCATACCAGGAAACAACAACCAAATAAATTAAAATATTTTTAAATAAAATATCAATTCCCCCTTTCCCAAGTCTACAATCTGATATTCATAAATGCCCCAGCCTCCAGCCTCCAGCCTCCCAACTCATCTCACCGCTCTCTACTTTCAGACCTCCATACCTCCCCAACTCCCTAACTAGGTGGGTAGGTAGGTAGTAACCCATCATCCACATCTAGCCATCACCATACTTGAGCTTCAAAAAACATAGCATAGTCACAAACCGACAAACCCCCCTCCCTCCAAGAGAATATAAATCGTAGCCGCAAAACAACGGCATCAATCACTCAGGGAACTAGTGAACGGTAAATGTGAGTGTCTGTGTGTGGTGGTTTGCTACCTGGTAGTACCTATCCTTTCTTTTTTCCAGATTCCCTTCCCTTCCCTTCCCTTCCATAAGGAGTTGCTTTCCCATCGCGCGCCCGCCCGCCTATTCCCCCACCCCTCTAGAAACAAAAGAACAAAAAACACACCCTAGAATGCTGCCAAAAATAATCACCACTAGCATTATTTGCGTAATCATACAAGTAAATTCTCAACCAAGAAAAAGCCAAGTTTCCCTCCCTCTGCAATTATCAATAAAGAAAAAAAGTCCCGACTGACTTGGCTTTATACGACTCCAGGCGCCGACCACACACATTCAGAGTTTGCTGCTAGTGCCAAGAGAGTAGAAACGTGAGATCCGACACAAACATCCACAAACAGGTTAGATAATTTATCAAGTCGAAATATGGATCAGTGTCTGACATCACATTACACTGTAATCGGCCGTCGGAGGGCCCAACATGCTAGGCACCTGCTTCCGAGTCAACCCTCGGGGGCGCCCTTGGTCAGGCCGCGGAATACCCTGTATGGCACGCGGTTCCTTCATCAATGAAGGGTCCAGCCTCAACGGGACCCGGGTGATTACCGCCCTGTAGTCGCCAGGAAACTTGGCTACCGGGAACGGGACTGAGGCGGTTCGCCAGAGATGATCTGAGGTGTCACTGAGGTAGGCGGGGATCTTAGCAGGCCTAGCAGGTGCAGAGTATCCGGCAGAAGCACCGTGAGATGCCCTGATGGTCGATAAACGGGAGAGGCCGGCAGACAAGGTTGGGCGTCCGCGGGCTTTCTTGGCAAGAATGATCTCGTCGAAAAGACGGACCGAGGGATCAGAGGGTAGGAGCCGCTCACGCTCATGTATGAATTCATTAAAGGCTAAGACCGTGTTAACAACTATCATGTAAAGCGAGTCGAAAAGGGACAATGCTGACCTTGAGTCTCCCTCATCATGTTGGCGTACTCCTGTTGGTCATAGGGGAGGCTCCTAATAAATCCGTCCATGTCAAAGGCGTACAGTTGTCCATTGGCCTTTTGGTCCCGAGTGGGCCGGCTGAGATGCTTCCGGTAAGTGTAGAGAAGACTGGCCAGGCAGCGGACAAACGCTGCGCGGACTCGTTCTGCATGGAATGCCTCGGGACAAACCAGCGAGACAAACCCGAGACATTGGTTGTGGGCTAGACAACCACACCCGCTACATTTGTAAAGACCGTTTCCTTCGGACCGCTCCTCACAAATCGTACAAGAGGAGCCGACTTCGATCTCGTCCGTGGTCCAGTTAAAGCAGTGACCCTCCACCCATACCGTATTCTCCGTGTTCCGCACCGGCTGGATCAGCATGTTCGGCATAATCGTCGAGGCCGCTATTGTCGATTGAGCATACGTCGATGGTGCATAACCACCATACGAAGACTGCGTGTCTATGGAGATGGCTGAAATGGACATATTCTGGCCGTGCCCATTCAAGAACGGAAGGCTTGGCCGATGGAGGGGGTGGAATTTATCTACCCCAAACGAGGAGCTCCGTCTAGGCTTCTCGTCGAAATGCCCGGATCGCTTCTCCCGGAGGGTGGCTGCAATAGCAAAGCCAGAGTCGCTTCGTGATATGGGTGTAGTAGGCATCGGGGGGAAGTTCATCGAGACTGGCGAGACAGAAGAAGGCGGACTCCCCTTGCCTGACTTGCCAGTTGGAGGGCGGTCAGGCTTATTCGGGTCGATTTTGGCTTGCGAGAAGGCATTGAAAAGGGGACGCCGTATGCTGCTGGCCGGATCGGGGTCTCCAAAAGAGGCTGAGTTCTGGGTCACCCATTTGCCCAGAGAACTTGGTGTTGTGTTGGCGTTAAACAGTGCCTCATTTTCAGCGGAATGCGCATCGTACGGAAACGACTCCATCGCATACGGCGGGGCTCCTGTAGCAACTCCATATCGCAGCTTATGAGGTGCCGCGATCTGCAAGAGAGAGAGAAGTTTTCGGCGGTGTTGGCGAGGGAGGCTGACAGGCGACGCGGTGGCGTCTATAGTGTCCTTGTCCAGGTCCACTAGCACGTAGTCGTCTTCCGGCAGTTCCATGTCTTCGTACCGTCTCTCCACGCCTACAATGTAAGGACACGGCGCCTCGAGCGCTGAAATGAGCCGCGCCGGCAGGATTGGAATGAAGATGCTCGCCCACTTGAGTGGGTAGAGCAAGCTGGCCAAGGCGTGACAGGCAAGATGCAGCATGCCGGTGTGAGATGAAAGGAAGATGATGCGGGACTCGGACATGGCATACTCGAACAGGAGCATGATATTGTCCAAGGACAAGCATCGGAACAGCGCATATATGTCGATGTTCCGCGAGCCGGGAAGTTCGTTTGCGGCCTCCTTACGTGCATAAAGCCGGAGCTCTCGCACACCAAGCTCAACTTGGGTTGTTGACCCTAGGGGACTGAAAGCCTCAGTGCACAGATTGATAACATAGCGTTCAAGAGGCTGCCACCGCCCGACCTTGGGCGAGCTGGGCGGCACCCTCAGAATGGCACCATCTGTCATGGGCACGACGATGGCCCGAAGCCACTCTTTCCAGAAACTCATTCTGCTCACGTCTCTGCCCAGAATCCCGTACGCCCGAGGTGTCCAGAGGCCAGTCTCGCCGGCGGTAAGACCGTCAATCTTGGACGCAGCACCATGTCTCAGCGGCCTCAGCATCTCCGTCATCAGGGTGATCTTCTCCTCGACAGCGCTGATTTGGTCATCTAGGGACTCACGGGCGGACGAACCCGATGGAATGGCGGGCAGTTTGGCGAGCAGCTGTGACAAGTGGGCTCGCTCACCCGCCAGACGCACTCCCAGGCTCGCCGCGAGCTCTCTCTCCTCGTTACTCATATGGCTCTGACGCCATTGCTCGCACTTCTTCTCAACCACCTCGGCTATCTCCGAGTTCAGAGCCGTCCACACAATGATGGTGATACCATATATCTTGGAGTTATCGTCCGAGGTCATGGTGAAACCATGCCACGTGGAGCGTGGACGGTCGTCTGACGATACGATTTGGATGTCGTTGGGGAAGGCAAACATGGGCACATAGTCCGGGAATTTGCCTCTCCGGGCCAGCTCGTCTACGGAGGCATCACGGGGAGGGTATCTGTCGAGTAGCGCAGGCTCAAACCGCTTCTTCAGGGGGTGCATGTCAGGGTCCGTATTCAGGGGTTCCGGGGGCGGGATCACCGAGTTATAGTTACTCAGCCTCTTTGCTGTTCGAACGGAAGCTGAGATGACAGGGTTAGCAAGCAAGTCGACTATACGCGCAGCAGAAGAACGCAGGGGTCCATTATCACATACCTGGCTTCGGAGCGGTGGGCTGTTTCCGCGCACTGGTCATGTCCCTAAAACTCATCTTGCGACGGATGCTGCCACGAATGCTCCTCAGCGGGCTCTTTCTCCCACTCTGGTCACCCTCCTCCGCCCTCAGCCTCTCGGCCCTTGGGTTGACCATGGGGGGTCTCGCCTGCACCTTGGCGCCGGCACTGAAGGTCAAATCGTCGAGAAAGATCTCACGCTCGGCCGCGAACTTCAGCAGGGCCTTGTCGAAGTCGAAGTCAATAGGGAACCCATCGGGGCCCATGACCTGGCCCGGCGAGGGCTGGACGGCGAGAACAGCGCTGCCATTAGCGCTGTTGAAGCTGTTGTTGCGGTGGACGCCGTTGATACTGCCGTTGGGTGGGGGCACCGGCCGGATGGTTGCACTGCTGC